CTACCTGAAGAATGGTGGGCAGTGTGTGTGGTGGTTGGGCACAGCAGTGCTGCAGGCCTGAGCTCCATCTCTCTGCAGAGTCGTGAAGATGGGCTCCCTGGAGTGGTACTACGGACACGTGAGGGCCCGCTTCAAGCGCTTCGGAAGTGCCAAAGTGATCCGGTCCCTCTGCGGGCGGCTGCCAGGGGGAGGTGAGGAGTGGGTGGAGGGAAGGGTGGGGTCTGGGAACCCATTTTGCTCCCAGGCATGTTTTACTGTTTCAGGACCAAGCAGATTCCTTTGGCACCTGCGTCTGCGTACCTGTCAGTACCTGTGCCTGGTGTTTTGATGGGGTTGGCTGCTTGCTGAGTGAGGTGCAGCCTTCTGCACCCTGGCCGGGCCTGGCCCTGGGAAGTCCTGCATGTTGACATCCCCACCCTCTGAAATCGTGTTTTCTCAGAGCTCTGTAGCAAGTGGAGAACTCACAGCCAAGGCTCTCAAACTCAGCAGCTGATGGAATAGCCGGGCCTAGTTCTTCCTTTGTGTCCCCAGGTCCTCCCTCCCTGGGTGGAGTACTTGGAGGGCGACACATTGATAAATCCTCCAAACCAGGACATTTTTAGGAGTGAGAGAGGCCTCCTGACAACCACGCTGAGACCACAGACATGACTAGGAGGGCCCTAGCAACACGGAGGGACTGGCTCCCCATTCTTGGGGGTTCTTTCTCCTTTCTTCCTCAAGCTGCTTCTTCCGGGCTAATAGCTTTGTCTCAGGCTGGAGCCCAAAAAAGTCCCACCTCCCATGCCTGCTCTGCCAGCCAGGAGCCAGTGAAGGGTCTCCCTGCAGCCGAAGGAGCTTGGCTGGGCCCTCCGCAGGGCCAGGGGCAGGAGCCACAGGCAGCACAGGAAGATCCACACTACAAAGCATCTGAAATCTCACCCCCAAAGTCGGCTGCGGGTAGCAGGAAACCACAGGCCACATCAGAGCCCTGGGGACCTGGGCCCTGCCCTGGGAGGTGCTTATTGCCAGGGACCTGGGTGGGCTCAGGAATCTGGATGACGTAGAACAGTGGTTCTCAACCTTCCTAACGCCGCTACCCTTTAGTACAGTTCTCATGTTGTGGTGACCCACAATTTCATTGTTACAAATTGAACATAATTAAAGCATAGTGATTAATCACAAAACAATATGTAATTATATATGTGTTTTCCGATGGTCTTAGGCAACCCCTGTGAAAGGGTCGTTCGACCCCCAAAGGGGTCACAACCCACAGGTTGAGAACTCCGACTAGAAGGACACAGGGTCCAGAGCTCAATGAGTGAGTCCAAGTGGCCAGGAGCCTGCCAGTTTCAAAACTGTCTCTGAGAGCCAGGAGGTGGCGCTGTGGGGCCGCAGGAACCCGGCTTCCAGCCACAGCAGAGGCTCCTGGCCCCTGGGAGGCAGGTCTCAGGTCCCTACAGTGACCTCCCCCAGGACTGTCTCTCTGCTGGGGGCCCCAAAACACAATCCCCTGAGAAAGGGTGCAGGGAAGCCTTATGGCTAATGAAAGTAGACAAACAAGCGATTGCAGTCCCAGCCAGGACCTGCTGCAGGCCCTGTGCAGCTGTGGGGCGCCCTGGGTCAGCCGAGCGGTGGTTTCCCAGAGGCCCCAGGACTGGATGGCGGGAGCTGCAGGAAGCAGTGTGGGTGGAGCCGCCTCTCTCCTGTCCTGGAGCTCACCGCTCCCCGCAGGGCTTCTTTCTTCTCAGCCCCTCCTCTGTGGTTGTAGGTTTGTCTGACAGAGCACATAGCTCCCCCGATGTCCACAGTAAGTCCTTCTTGCTCAGACATTTTTATCTTCATTTCCACCTCCCCACCAAGCAATCTCTGCTCCATGTCAGGAACATGGGAAATCCTTTGGGTTTCTTTACCCGTGACTCAACAGCCAGAGGTGGGCTCATATCAAAGCCTTGTTCCATGTTTGGAGGGTTATGTAAGGGGCTGATAACCAAAGGGTCGTGGAGATCCTGCTCATTTCGAGCAGAGGGGCAGGGACACCACCCTGACCGGTCACACACACCTGGGCCTTTGGAAACCCATGTCCACATTCCCTCGATGCAGACAGAGTCCACGTCACAATGCCCTCGGTCTGGCTGTTTGATGTGAGTTTCAAGACTCACTCTTCAGAGAGGGGCCCTGGTTGGCTGGCTGGTGCTCACGTCTGGGGGCAGAGGAGGGGCGGAGAAAGGAAGAAGAGGGCCCCGGGGCTGAGCCTCCCTCCCTCCCAGCTGTGCCTGAGGCCTGGCCTGCGGATAAGAGACTGCGGGGAGAAGTGCTTTGTTTGGGAAAAACAAGACTTAGCTCTAAGCCTCCTTCAGGGGGTCAGTAACTGCGGGGTGAATTCCTGCAGGTGTGACCCTGATAAAATTGATGCAGAGCACTGGTTTTCTGCTGTGATGAGAACCAGCTGTAACTGATGCTCGGATAGGTCATTGTAAGATCAGCAGAGGGTCTTGCCTGGATGTTTTTCGATGGGTGGATGGTGAATAGAAAATGGCTGGATGGTGGGTGGTGGATGGATGGATAGTGATGGATGAGGAACGGATGGATGAGTGGGTGGGAGGGTGAGTGGATGGAAGGATAGGTGCGGGGGTCGGGGGGAGACAAAGGGTTTGCCTCCAATCTGTTTCTCCCTAAATGGAGTCATCATGCAGGTGTCTGTTGCAGGTGGGCCTGAGCCAAGCCCAGGAGAGAGAAGTAGAGACAGTGAGCATTCCGATACAGATGGAGAGCTGGACACAGGGGCTCAGACCCAGCCCCTTGGCAGCAAAGTAAGTCTTCCCCAACCACTTCCACCACTCCCGGGGCTGCAGCCTTGGGTTCTGACTTCCTAAAAAACTCAGTGCTCCCAGGGCTCCACTATAGCCTGAGCGCTGAGCCTCTGCCTCCCTTTGCCGCGCCCCGACCATCTCTGTGGGCGATTCGCACCAGAGAGAATGCTTTCAGCATAAGGTCACTGGCACCTGGGAAAGCCCCAGCAAGCTGTGGGTGGGCAGAGGCTGCAGGGAAGGCTGCCTAGACCCGCAGACTGCCTGGCCCTCGGCCTCAGCCGCTGGAGCACGGTTGGGAGGGCAGGGGCCAGGGGGCACACTGGTGTCACCCTAAGGCGGCCTTTGCACCTTTCAGGGACATAAATCCCTCGGACTCTGCGAGCTTTTTTGCTTTTTTCTAGGACAAAACATGAGCCTTGTTTTTATTGGTGTTTCTGTTTTCACTTATTTTTAATTTATTTATGGTGATAAAGACACGCAAAGTATCCCCTAGGGTTTCTGGGTAGGATGATGGAAGGGGAGCAGTTGGAGGGGAGCAGGTTGAAGGGAGGGGTGGGTCAGGCAATGGTGAGTATAGATGGAGCCACTTGGAGAGAGACACAATGCTGGCCAGGTCGAGCTGGCTGCTCTGGGGGGCGGGGGAGGGGGGAATATATGCATCTGTTTATGACAAAAGTATGTTTGTGCCACTTCCTAAGCTTCCAGAA